TTAACAATTTAACACAACACAATTTAACTGTAACTCCTAATAGTTTTTAATCCACATGTGAAATTGTGTTTACTATATTCTTGGTACCAGTGTCAGTAGGCCTTTTTAACAGAAGACATTTCCATATGTCACAGTAGGAAAATCATAGTTGAAAATAATCAAATAAATAATGGCTGAATAACATTTAGCTGCTTCAGTTTCAGGGACCTGGTATTGTTCATGCTGGCTCGCTGTCACACTGTCATGATTTCCTGTCACACTTTGACAGAATGCAGCGATTGTTAATGTCATTAGGAACACCTGCGCTTTTCTCATCATCCCAAGAGAAAATGACTGCTGGGAAAAAACGGCCTGTGAAAATAAACATATAAAGTAGTAGAACAGTGACATAGTGTTTGTTGAGTTGGCTCTGTGCTGTGCGCACTGGATTTGATGTTGACTTGTAACTTTTAGGGTGTTGAAGGGCATTCACATCTATATTGGGTGAACAAAGTAGTAGTAACTGTTTCTCTTTTCATATATACTGTACAGTAATTGTATAACCAATAGATTTTAAGGGCCAAACAGTCCAGTGTTCTTGACTGGCCAAGTTGCCTACCTGACCATGATACAACTGGCCATGTGCAAAAAAACAACAACAACAAAAAACCCTTAAAAAGCAGCTTAACCATGGATGTTAATTTCAAAGAAAGATGTGGAATGAATCATTGATAAGGAATACTTTATTTAGGATAATTTAGTCTATTCAATTCTTGCCCCTTTAATTCAGAGACTCTGTAAAAAAAAAACCAATAACACTCATGATTTAAAACCCAACGTGCTTGAATACAGAGCCAAAACTACAGAAATATGTCTCTGTCTTACTTATAGACAGGAGCTATTACACATGAAAATGTTCATACTCTTCTTTTGCCTTCCTTCCCTTCTTTGTTCATAGCTAACAGAGTTGAACACATTTTTCCTCAAGCACATTTTCGTCTTTCCTGCAAGCCATGCTCTTAGCTGGTGTCGGATCCTGTTCATTGGTATCATCACAGCTCCAACAGTGAGGTAAAAACACAAAAGGCAACTTTATTAGTTGGGAAATTATCCTTAATGCCAGATTTTTAAAATATATATATTGTATTTTGTTAAATGCTGATGTTTGCAATGTGTTTGCTTTGTTTTCTGCTTTAGGCAGTATTATGCGTACCTTACAGACACACAGTGCAAGAGAGTTGGGACCCAGTGTTGGGTGTTTGGGTAAGTGAAACCTAATTTCAGGGCAACCTTTTATTTTCAAGAAAGACCCCCAGAATCAGTCGTACTACGCCACATATTTGTATGTGAACTGTAGTGTTCCTGTATCAGCCAGAGGCAGTGAGGGCAGATAAACGAGGTGATTTTAAATGACCTACAAGGGCAATAAATCTCACTAAGCAAATGTTACAGTGTTCAGATCAGTGAGCATTGCCCTGCTCTCTGAAAAGTCACATACGGGCATATTTGTTTTGACAAAGGTTACTGCATTTGGGTCAGAGGTTTCAGTTGTGTGTGTTGCTTTTTCTCTCCTCATTCACAGGGCAATAGCCTTTCTGGAGGCCTTGGCGTGTATTAAGTTTGGACAGGACTTGTTCTCAAAAACACAAATCCTTTATGTGTTCCTCTGGCTACTCTGTTTGGTAAGATCAGGATCACAGTGCTGTTGCATTTTTGTGTCAAAATAAATTTACTGTCGTCTTCTGCAGTTAATAATTGGCTCTGTGTACTTTAAAATACATTAAATCATGTGCCTTAACTATACTGCCAACACACCATAATTCTTCACATGTTTGCACATGAAAAACATTTTAACTTGGGAAAACTTAATGTGCTGTAATGAATTGACTATGGATTCTCCATGAACCAATAAACAGTCTCTGTTGTGTTTGTTCTGTTTTCAGGCCTTCATTACATTCCTGTGCCTGTATGGAATGGTGTGGGTTGCTGAAACTTATGGTCCAAGAGACAAGGTATGTTTGCCGCTTTAAAGTTTGTCAAAAAAGAAATTGATGTTGATCTTTAAGCTTGTCAGGGAAATAGAAACTCTGTTTGTTCGTGTAACTGGTTAGATAATGATGTGTTTGTTTAAAACCTTAAGGCATCTCACTGGGTTGGCCTCGTCACATTTCCAAAACACTTCTAAAAACTTGTATATCTTGTTTACCTTATTAAGAGCACCTTGAGGAGGATTTAAGAATTTCATGTGAGTCCCTGTTGTGCACTATGGACAGTAGAAAGCAGGCAGCTGGTATTCTCTAAGAAATTATAAGATTGATGAGAAAATGTTTTGACGGGTCACTGTCAAAATGGAGAGAGAGCGTCCCTCACCCTCATGATGATCATTAATTAAGGCTGCAAACACAACCAAATCCATCATTGTTGCAGCCTTTCAGAAAACCCTTCTCTTCTACCTTGATATCATTATTGTCAACTCATCGCTGGTCTCAGCTGCTGCTCACAATATGAGGTGCCAAATGTTGCACAAGCATAGTGGCTTTCTGTGAAGGTCCCATAATGCTAAATAAAACTGCAGCAATCATTTACATAACACTTATGTCTCAATAACAAAAAGGCATTGCTTCAGTCGATAGGTGAAGCTAGCAGTGTTATGTTTTCCATAACTAAAGAATCAGCTGACTTAGTCTTGAAGACCCTCAGTGAATATTAACTTTCAGACCTATTTCATCATTCAGTGTACTATATTGCACAGGGTCGGTTAGCTGCTGTATGTTCCCTGTCCAGTTAATGGTATGTGTGTCATGTGTCTGACCTCTTCTCTCACAGAGCTTCTCAGAATGTGAAGACAGTAATTACGCAGACTCTGCTGACTATCTGTCAGAAGGATTTAAAGGTACAATGATTTAACTGTAATTGATCAACCACATTAAAACGGCTGAGAAAATTATACATTCATTTACAACCGTAATCCTTTGAAAGTCTGACCCCTAGTGTTTGGAATGGTGTTTTACTTGTACTGTTTTTGTGAAAAGTTCAGTCACATCTTTTTATAAACTAATTTCCAAGTGTTTCGTGTTCCAGGAGAGACAGAGGTGGACAGCGACAGCCCTACAACCAGACGTAGAGGGAAGGGCTCAGGAAAGACCAAATCCATCAACGGCCTGGACAGCCAGTAAGAGTTGGAGTTAGAGGCTGGTGGGCGACTCCTGAACTCACTCCAGGAGCCAGGTGTGAAGGATCACAGGTTGAAAAAGGGGGTAAAGATACAACCATTTCCTGGTGTAATTTAAGTCTAAAAAGCCCCCACCTACAGTAGAGGGAGTAGAGACAGGAGAGACTAAGTGGATGAACAGGTCCATGCAGTGTTATTAGGAGTGCACAGAGGCAGGCTTGGACTACAGAGATGCACACTTAACTGAGTGCTGTAGTCGTAAGAAAAAAAAAAACAAAAAAACTCCTAAACCACTGATCACAGGTTTCTGTGTGTGTGAAGAGAGAGAGAGAGAAAGAGTGGTATTTTGTGCGTGTGTGAGAGAAGGGCAATACAAACTGCCGATTCTAAATGTGACTGCATGATCATTGTAGCTGATAAACTATAATTTACATTTATCCTACGATACAGTATATCATTGATGGTTAATGTACATCCGACTGGACTACACCAGCTTTAACTCCAGTATGTCAGTTCAACGCATTTCAATGTTAAAAGCCATTATGTAGAATCTATCACATTATTATGGAGCCTCTATGTTTATAGCACAGAAAGGCTAAAGTCTTTTATTAGTATCTGTTATTGATTGTCTATTTACATCATTGATGTTCACACTTGTTTCGTGGGCTTGAATGTGGGCAGGATTTCAGTGCAAGACAGCTTTAGCTTAGTATCAACTGAGGTTTGTGTTTCACCTGGAACAAAGAAAAGCACACAGTTTAAGCACTTTTCAGAATGTTTTCTTGCAAATACTGTACATTTTGTAATGTTTGAGTATTTTGTGAATCATTGTGACCTTGGGTGATTTTATTCTCCTGTCCATCTGTGGCTGCTATCATTTTTTTCTTTTACTGTACTGATAACGGAGGGCAATTATTCAAATTCCTGCATGTCCTGTCTGTGTGCAGGTGGCTTTCGTTTTACTGTCAACCTTCTTGTTATTGCATATATTGCATTTGCATGGCTGTGTCAAATCAAATCAAAGTGTTTTAGTAGGAAATGTAACAAGAGTAGTCAACAGTTCTATATCACACCACACACCAGGATGCCAGTATTGTCATTTTTATTTTTTTCACTGTAACATTTTAATTTACCCCATGTGCCTGTTTGCATGTTGTTTTTTTATTCCCAACTTTTCTCAGTTTGTACTAAATTTGGGCTTTCTGTGTTTGATTCTTCTGTGCTTCGAGTGCTTTACTAAAGGTTTATTTTCACTTGCTCTGTCAGCATCATCTCAGTACAGATATATCCCTCATAATCCTCGACAATCCAGACATTGACCTCTGTGGAATGGACCAGGCTGCCGTGCTACAGTAGACACTATACATGGTACATTGTCTCTGGATATAGATGTCATTTGCCAAAAGCAATTCTGTTGAAAATGACTTGTGCTGTTCTTTTTCACTGTGAAATAATGAAACATATTAAAATGTTTTACATTTCCTCTTAAAATCTTTGTGAGTTGTTATTCGGGATATTTGCTCATTTTTGGAGCAGCGGCACTACACATACACCCAACTTTCAACAATAAATGTCTTTATTACTTATTAAATACATTTCTTTGTACTTGCCATTACATTAATGTCAGCGGGAGGCTGTTAGAATACATAACAATAAAAAATCACGAATGACCTTGCTCAACCCCTGGAGAGCACCCTGCTGCAGTAAAGGAGTGCTGGATTGGCTGACTCAAGCACTGCCCGTCTCGGATCAGATTTCACACGGTCTGCACACCATGAAACTCAGACTTAAATAGCTGCCTCGTGCTGACCTACAACAAGGTTTTAAGGTAGGGTTGATGTTCCCTGGGAAAAGATATAGTCCTTAACATGAACAGTACTAGCATAGGTATATCTAGAAGGAGTTTTCAGCAGCTGTCACCCCACAGTGAGTACTAATGTACACAGTGACATCTCTCCTGGTGTTGAATCCAGTGATATACCTTTATGTTTTTTTACCTAATATACATATAAAACAAGTTTTTTTTCTGCTGTTTTCATCTGCTGTGTGTTGAAAATATAACCATTCAACCTCTACAGTTTGTGTGTGAGTTAATTTCCAAAGGAGGGCAGCAGAGAGCCTTGCTGTTGTAAAAATGCCACGTGACCCTTTGGGCCTACAGCACAGGACATGAGTGTGTTGACAAAAATGTTGCAGTGCTCTGTTCTCATATTCCTCTCTTCATCATTCTCTCCATCTCACTTAAATCACCAGCTTTTCTTTTTTGGTTTTTCGTTTCCTGAACCTCCTGCTCAGTAGGTTTAAAGAAATTGGATATTTTGGTCATGGCCATGAATCCTGGTTCCCCAAGTCGTGGCAGCCTGAGTCCTGAGGGGATTCTGAGAGAGATCCAGATCAACTTGCTGGAGTGTAAAGTCTGCTTCGAGAAGTTCAGCACTCAGCAGAGGGAGCACAGACCACAGAACCTTTCCTGTGGCCATGTACTCTGTCTGGAATGCATCACAGCTCTGTCCCACCCTCTCCTGAGGAAGCTGGAGTGCCCGTTCTGTCGACAGCTGTGCAGTGTTGACGGCACCTCCCACTGCCAGGTTCTGAGTGACCTGCAGGAGTTGTTGTTGTCTTGGAGTCCCACATCCTCTGCTACTGCTCACAGGGCAAAGGGAGGCCTAGGCTTGGCTACAGGTCTGACATCCACAGCTCTGCACCTCTCCAGAGCTTTTGGTGGGTGGGGGACTCTTATCAACCCCTCTGGGATAGCTGTTTTGGGGTCTGCAGGGACAATAGTGGTGGTACATGATGGAGAGAACAGGGTGGTGGTGTTTAGTCCGCAGGGCAAGAAGCTGCACAGTTTTGGCCGAAGAGGACAAGCCATTGGTGAGATCTGTTATCCAGTAGATGTGGCGGTGACTCCCTGTGGTTACATGGTGGTGACCGATGCAGGGGATAAAGCTGTGAAGGTTTTCACCTCCAGGGGGAACCATGTGTTGACGGTCAAAGATCCCTTCCAGATGCCCTGGGGTGTGGACACAGACAGCCATGGCGACATCCTGGTATCGGACATCCAGGCTGGCACGCTGTCTCAGATAAAAGTGGACTATACTCGTGGTCTCATCCTGGAGCATCAGACAGCGATTTCAGACCTCCAGCATCCAAAAGTGGTGGCCTCCTGTTGGGTAACTGGGAACACTGCAGTGATGGAGCATTTACCTGATGACACACATCCATCAGGGAGGCACCAACACACACGGCTGAAAGTGTTTTCAAAAGACTTCAACCTCCTTTATCAGACAGACAATTTCAGCCTGACCCTGCAGTCCATGGTGAGGCTGAACATGTCAGGCGTGGCCTTCGACAGAGATGGAGATGTGATTGTGATTGACTCCAATCACGGGATGATTTGGAGTTTGGGGAAGCTGCAGAATGGCCCAGCCCTGACTCCTCTGGTGGGAGACCACCTTATCCGCCCAGTTGGACTGGTGTCACTGAAGAACACGCTGGTCATTCTGGACAGTGGAGATCATACAGTGAAGATTTATTCTGCTAAATCTGATGCTGGACCCGTCTTATAGCTCGTGTATAAACAGGCCTAGAGTAGCCTATGTGAAATGTAGCTTATTATATTATAAAGTGATGAGGTGATCTGGTAATACTATTTATAAATATGAATTAGTTTTACATTAGAAACATTTTTCTATTAAAAATAATAACTGTGAATATAATAAAATGTGTGTTAGAGGCTGCTGTAAGCTTTGTTGTACACATTATAAAATCTATGTATATGCAATTATTATGCAGTTATGTCAAACTAATGTTTTTGTCATTGTTGTTATTGTTCCAGGTTTTGAGAATAAAATTGTAGTATTTACTAATTCTAACTACTTCCCAACCAGAGGGTTAGGACCTCCCAAAGAGGAGATCCTGAATAATTTGAGAGGCCACAAGACAATTAAAGGGCTAAAAAAAGAGAAACTACATTTTTTTGGATAATTTGTTTGTTTATGTTTGCTGTTTTCTTGTGAAATACTGGATGCATTTGCCTTTTGAGGCCATAGAAATCCTTGAAACAAAACAATCTAAGAGGGGGAAGAAATCACTATACACATTCACAGGGCCATAAATCAGTGATGAGAGGTTGAACAAATACAAATTGCTTCATTTTAATGAGGTGAAAAGTTTTGGAACTACTGCTAAACAGTGCTGTAGCTATACAGTGGATACTCAGGTCATATCTTCAGTATTTTACTTGGACATGGGTTAGGGTTATTTCATATGGAATTTGAGTCCCCTAAAGCACAATCTACATTTCATCTTACATTTCTTTTAAGTAGGGAAACAGACAAACAATTTGATACATTTGATATACAAGGGAGAAAATAAGACATTTCTTTGTGACAGTAAAGAAATGCCATGCTCTTTTTGGTTGGGTCACAATGATATGAGCTGTGGTGAGAAGTGTGGGGGATACTTGGACTCCTGCCCTTAGTGTTTCTAAAAACCTAGTTACGGCCCTGCTGCTACAGTAGCTACATAATACAAGTGTTTAATATTAATCATCAGTCATATTAATAATAAGTTCCTTTTGTTAAAAAAATAAACAGTAGCTGAAACAATTAGCCTATGTCAGAGAAAGATACGTTTTTTTTATGACTGTGTAAACTTCCTTTTTAATAACCCCTGTGCTCGTCATTCTGTCTTTAGATGATGCTTATCATTGGTGCATGTAAATCAGCTTGTCAGACAGTCTCACATTTTTCTCGTCCACTGGTTATCCCCCCCCGCCCCCAACCCCCAACCCCTCCCCGATAAGCGGCGCGGTGCGTAAATCCTCTGCCCCTCTTTGGCACAGCCGCCTCCAGTCTGCCAGAGGATAGCAGTCGTGCTCCCAGTGGAAGATGGCGGTGGGGATGCTGTCTGGGGCTGGAGCAGAGTGCTGGATTTGCACAAAAAGCGAACCCGGATGGATATAAAGGAGAAGGAAAAATGAACATATTCCTATCTCTTTTCATCGAGGTGTGGACTCTTTTGTGGTTTTTTTAACTAGAGTCTGCTGCCGTTTTTTTTGTTTAGTTTTTTTGGCTGGCAGAAATCCGGGCTTCTCGTCGGGGATTCACAGACTATACATTGATAGCTCGGCGCATAGACAAGGGTGGGAGAGAAAAGTGGACGAAAATGTCGGATACAAAGGTAAAAGTTGCAGTGAGAGTCCGGCCCATGAACCGCAGGGGTAAGTGTTACAAACATGATTTCTGTTTTGCACAAAAAAATAAAATAAAATCGCATTTCTGTCTCCTCGGTTTCATGCTACGTTATCATAAACTTTTTGATATCTTCGCCATTGCTCCTCTCAGCTTGAGTTACCAGCCTGGAGTCAGATTTGAGTAGCCTGAATAGTTTTTAAAGAAAGTAAAGCTCGGATTTTACTTTTTTTTTCACACCCCCGCATTCCGCTTTACTTCTCCCAACAAACTTCTCTCTACAGAAATTGAACTGAATACAAAATGTGTCGTGGATATGGAGGACAACCAAACAGTTCTACACCCACCACCTTCAAATGCAAAAGGGGAGAACAGGTAAACAACGCTGACACACACAGCTACTGAATAAAAACAAAACAGCATTAATGCAAGCAGTGTGTAAGTGCAGTGAGCCTGCTGTAGCTGAGGCATCTTTTGCCTTACTGAGTGCAACAGAGTTAAAAATGTCTTTGCAGCACACATATGGGGGGGGGGCTGGGTGTTTTGGAAATGCCTGTAGCTGCAGAAAAATGCAGACTGCACCCTCAGTGTAATAACTTTATCCCACCCTGGCTGTAATACAGTAAGAACAACATCCAAGGTTAGCGTATAACTAGGTATCCGGTGAGTTCCTGGTATCTGGAAATACATCAGAACGTTAGACAGCATGATCCTGATACGCAGAAATCAGGATTTAACTTGCATGGCAAACTATCTAACTATTATCTTGAATTCAAACTATTTATTGGCAGAAATGCCAGTAAATAATCGCAGTAGACGGACAGGAATACTGCTGCTGCTGCTGAAGACATCATGTCTGTCACCCACCTGCTTGCAACATGATATTATGTTATGTAATTCATGTGAACTTTCCAATACTAATCACCACAGTGTAATAATACATATACACCTAATAAAATACCCTCCTATTTTGTATATCTGAGTTTAAAGGCTGTGGGGGCGGTTGAGCGAGTTTGACACATGAAGATGCTTATTAGACAGAACAGATTAATGTCCAGCCTCAGGGTATCGGCGTAAATCTCCAGTGTCAGAACTAATTCAACGTATGTGGCGTTCAAAGTATTGCCGACCCACACCGTGTCTTTTAGATGATGGCAGGATGCTGCACACTTTATCCGGCGTTCTTTAGCACCAAAAGTAGAGCTAAGCATCCTCTAATGTTTCTCACACTCTGGCTGCACACTGAAGGTTAGGTCAGCATCACAAAGCTGCAGTTTCCGCTGGCTTGTGATCTGACATGCTTTCAGATAGTAATGAGGAGATGTCTGGAGCCACACAACATGTAGGCTGATGGTGGCTGTATGCTTGTGAAGTCATTGCAACTGTCATGCCTGTTAGCAACGGTTAGAGATGCTATATTTCATAATAGTTGAAGTCGTTTCCTATAATTTTGCGCTTGGTTTGTTTGCCCTCTTCTGCTGTTGGTGTCACACATGATTAAGCAGATGACCTGATTACCCACAGGCGCAAATAAACCTAAAAGGATGCTCATTTAGGGATAAAAATCCAGGGTTTGTTTTTTTACTTTTATTTATCACTCAAATGAACAACAGCTCTTCTGGCTACAGTAAAAGTCCACAGTGTGACATATGAGGCAAATACATGCCACAGTCAAGGCTTTCCTCATGGCCCACATCCAGTCTTGTTAAAGTGTAACACTTTCTCTGCCGTTTCCCACGTAGCCGTAACAGTCAGCATTAAATGGTAATGAGCTGGCTGCCCCAGCAGCTCGGCTCCACACATTAACCTGTATTTAAGGCAATTATCAGAACAGAAATTGCCACACAATGGCGACGTTCCAGGCAATTAAACAAATCATGCTCAAAGCTAACATATGTGGAACAGGACGCATAACAGAACAAAAAGCTGCCACGGGTGAGAGGTCAGAGGAATGAGAGTAACTGTACAGAGATTCAGAGACTACAGCTGCAATATTCTCTCAGTTAAGTGATTTGGATCTGATACTGGAGCTTTCCACTGCTACCTGTTGCCATGTTGTTGAGCTACAAACACATTTCACAGCTTCTTTCAGGGGAAGTTTCCCTATCTGATTTAGATGTCGTATCAGTTGTACAGAGATTCCTTTTGTGGGCTTGATTGGTATAAATGTTTTCAACTTCTGCTGGATTTCACTGTAAGATCATTTTTTTATTCTGACAAACCTATTTTCCGTATTTTGAACTATGAAATATATTTCATCCATTGTAATTCTTAAGGTAATACATTATGTAGCTGTGGAGTGACTATGGCGTTGAACAGTTTGGTTTTATTATGTCACATTTCTTTTCTATAGTGTAGTCCAACCATATAATTACTTGTTAACATTTCAGTGCTGTGTGTGTGTGTGTGTGTGTGTGTGTGTGTGTGTGTGTGTGTGTGTGTTTTGGGTCTCTGTGTGTAGCCCAGGCTGCCATGGTTTTCTTAAAGTATATAATTTTCTTCCCCGCCGCTTGTGGAGCCGCAGAAGGGGGATACCCTGATCACTAAGCCTTTGCCTTGTTTTGAAGACACCTGTTCCTGTGTGTTGTAAATGTGTCAGATTTAGTGGGTATTAGCATGCCAAATATGGCTGCAGGGCCAAGATCATGGGAACCTTTTACTCTCTCATGGGAATGTTCAGGCGCAGAGCGAAAACAACAGTTGTATTTTTGTGTAGACACACGTCTGAAATAAATTTAACTCTTGTTTATTCCTTTTGCGGTGGATTTTGAAATAAGGGATTCAACAATGGGGGGAAAAAACTGCCTAATTTGGATTTCAGTGAAACTTGTTTTGGCCCCACAGCTTTTTGCTCAATACCTAGAAATACTAAATATAACTTCAGTCTGATGAAATACTGGAATTAAGTCTCTAGTTGTGTGAATTTAGAGCTGAGAACTTTCCAGATTGTGTCTGAATTTTAATCAGGTTTTGCAGAGACCACAGAGCCCCACGAAAACATGCAAGTCACCTAAAGGATTAGAAGAAATATAAGGGATTTCCTTTGATGGCTAAGCCTCATTCTTTGCACTACAGAGCATTATAGAAACACTCGTGACCCATACCCCCTTCTCCTATTTCCCTGAGAAATGAACAATAATCTCAGCAGTAGGCAAATGTGACTTCAGGGCGACAGGTTAAGTTTCCCTTAGTTTTATCTTTCATCTGCCTGTTAAGTTGGCACCAATGGGCATATTTGAAATGGGAATCTGGGAACGTCGTTTTGTTTTCACGCACCAGTCTGCTCTCCTTTGGGGTTTAGACACAATGCAGGTGGGGGTGGAGAGGCAGATAAATACCTGAGGCTGCTGTCTGCACAGGGGATGAGTGGTGGAGCATCATGACAAGAAAATACCCTTCGACTCACACAATGGGGCCATATTACATCTATCATGCCCCAGCATGTCCGTCAACGTGCAACAATTGAATGCAACAAGGCCATTGAGTCTTGGAAAATGTTCTTTATGTAACCCACCTCCCCCTCTTTTTCTGTTAATTTCAGTCTAAATACAGAGAGTACAGAGAGTTATTTTATAACCAAAAGCTAACCACAACTAACTTTTTAAAGAGGCAGACAGGAGGTGCTGTCTTTTGTCTTCCTTTCATTCTAGCTAACTAAAAACATACAGTTTTTAAAAATATGTGTTTAACTGAAGATGTCTCTTTGTAGAGATGAAGATGTAACTTTTGTGGTCTGCCTCCATACTCCTGAAGCTCTGCAGTGGAGCATTTGAAGATGATCAGTGGCAGTATGTCTTTATCTGATAATGTATGCAACCAAGCTCGTAATTTCCACTCTAATCTCTTCCTTATCACTAATAGTAAAGAGCTCAATTGGGTTTTATCGCCACTTGACTGAGTTATCTTGCTTACTTGGCTATTGTAATCTGAATCCTGTGAAGAGGGGCTTTAAAAGTTCAAAAGTCAACCCACTAGGAAGGTGCTACTTGTACTGTGCCTACTCATCTTGAAATACTCTTATATTTATATTTATTTATGTAATGTTATTCATGTATTTTCAGAGATAGCTGTGTAGTTAGGTTCTCCATGTCTATTTTCTAAAGGGTAAAAAAGTAATTAAAAATGCTGATGTTTAAAAGAACATTTTGGAGAATACGCTTTCTTGCTTTTTATTGGACATTTAGATTCAAAGATTGATACCGTGCAAATATGAAGCTATATCAAGCAGCTGGTTAGCTTAGCTTAGCATGAAGACAAGAAAATAGCCAACCAGCCTCTGCCCAAATTTAACTAAATGAATGCGTGTTTAATCTATACAAAAACAACTACAATTTGCTGTTGCCAGGCAACCAATGGCGGTTACTCCAGGTCCAGGAAGTTACTGCTCATAACCTTGAGGATTTTTACGCTACTGTACAGATTAAACAAGTGAGATTAAACGGGTTAATTTGTGAGCTTTAGAAGTCTCTTTACCTTTGAACAGAACCAGGCTAGCTGTTCTCAGTATTTGTGCTAAGCTAAGCTAATCAGCTGCTGGCTGTAGCTTCATATTTACCTTACAGACATAAGAGTTGTATCAATCTTCTCATGTAACTCTCTGCCAGACAGCTAATAAGCACATTTGAAATTTGGTTGCAGTACAGCCGTACTCTGATGACTGTCGGAAACCAACCCAATGTGGTCAACATGTGCTTTGTGGAGGTCTTTACAGACAGCCTCTAATGCTGTCTGTTTGTTTGTTAACCCTTATGATACACAGATGTCAAAGACACAAATAGGTGTTGAGTGGACATGACATGTCTCCCACGCTGTTGTAGTTTTGGTCACACTTTTTCCCAAGTCACACATGACCCAGTATCATCATGCTTTCCAAAACGAGCCTTTACTGAATGACAATGCTGCCTTGTCTAATGGCTGCCCTCAGGAATGTTCCTTTTGTCTTCCCATTTTGCTCCATGTGTGCCAATAATCAACCTTTCCATTCAGTAATGTTGTTTTCAGAGTTAGTTGGCCTAAATTACACATTATGAGCCCAGCTTTTCTCTTTAAGGCTTAACTCATGCGTGCCATTAGGAGAAAGTGTGTGTGTTGCTGATAAAAAACGATTGTATTCCCTCATGGACTGTTCCCTGTTTGTTTAGAGGGTGGGGCATTGTTTACATCTTGATCCGGAATTGAGAAAAGATGGCGTCCTCCCTCTTTGTCAAGCCTGTGCCTCATTAATCTCAGATGTGGCTTCTCACTCTGAGAGCAGCCGATGTAAAAATCCACTCGCAGACATTTCTTCCATAATGATTCTGGTTTTCCTTCTTGCATGAATCTCTCAGATGAGGCCTTTTTGAAGTTTTGAAGCCGGCTTGTTTTGTTTACATGAA